CCTTGCCATGGCAAGGGGCTAACTGGTGGAAGTGCTCTTAGTATGTTAATTGCTAAGGATGAGGGCTAATTCATGAAACTTGGATTTGATTTCGGATGAACATACCAACTTCTTAAATCCCAAATAATGTAATAATGACAGTGTTTTATTTGTTTATATTTAGATCATAACTCACGTATATAACCAACTCCACAATAATGCACACACATTGCTCATCGCTCACTTGTATATATGGTTATAAGTTACAATCCAACATGTCAATGCCTTCAAGTTATGTGGTACCCTTGACTCCTTTATAACAATTTACATAAAATGGGCATGAAAACCAGCCCTATGGAATCAAATCATTAAGAAGCCTCGTACTTTGAGGGAGTCCACTCAATCATTCACATTTCTCATCATGCAACTTATATATATGACCTCTACCCTACGTTTTCGTTTTTCTCCCATGTGCATATGTGTGATCAAAATGGTTTAGTGACTTTTGGCCTAAGAAACCTACTTCTTTCTAGTTTACTTATGCTGTCTAGCCAAACATGATAGACTAGTATTCGTTACGACACCGTTTTATAGTTTGAGTGAAGATCCACTGCAAAAATATCAGAGACTCGTCAGCTAGATGCATGCTATGTACCTTAAAAAGTTTATGGTTTTTGTGGAGATGCATGCGTTTCAACTTTCAATACGATTTATCATGTCCTTCTTCAATTAGCATCGATTGCTTTTCATCTATTAAATCACCACAATAATTCACACTCTGCCAAATCATGTAAACTTGTCTACATTCAATCAGCAAGTTACTTGCTTATTGGGCTTGTTATTTTCCATTTCGACCTAATTTTCTTGTTTCTTCCTTGCTATTTGCAATTGAAATTTCTTGATGAATTTGGATATTTTAGTTGATTATGTCTTTTTAGGTTGATATTGTGCTTTATCGTTAAACGATGTATTAAGTATTAAATATTTTATCCTCCTTAATTAAAATTTAAATGACTAAACAATTTTCTTGTATGTGTGTGGGGTTAGGCTTGTTGGACATGTTGACGATTAATTGAGAGGACTTTAAATTTAAACTAACGCTTGTATTAAAAAAAAACAAAAACAAAAACAACTAGTTAGTTGGGTGTGTATCCATTAATTATAAAGGGTATTATGGGCATTACACATAAACTCTCTGCCGTGCAAAATCCAGTACGTCAAGATTATTGTTGCAACCTTTTGGAACGTTCCTCGATTCTCGTTTTCAGCCTCGCTGTCGCTTTATCATAGAACACGGAACGTAGCCGTCTGACTGACATTCCCGCCTATGTACAGAGAAATTCAACTTGCCACGTGGCACTAGTCACGAGTCCCAGCTTCGCATACAGACACAATCATATTTCGTCTCTTATTAAGTTATTACCGTACCGTCTCGCGTCGGCACCTGATAAATGTAACCGTTGGAACAGGATGTGACCCTCTCTGACTTTATAGCCGTTGGATTTGATTGGCGACAATTATTGTTTGGGATGAAATCGGAGCGGTTGGTTTATTTATTGTGATGATGAAGTTGGGGATCGGACGGTGATGCGTGGCGCGGGACCATGAGGTATCATGAGTCGGTGGCTGCCGGTGCGGATTTTGAGGGTGTAGTGCGGCGCCAATCAGATGTGAGATTGCGAGGGCCCTGTTTAAAATTCAACGCGGAAACGAGTGTAAAGCTAAGCACGTCCTGTCGTTTAGGATGAATATCATCGAATCATTTTGGTCTCATCTAAAAAATAAAAAATAAAAAAATAAAAAAAGGAAAAATATTTAGAATAAAACCAGATAAATTATGAATATTTAATTTAATTTTTTATATTCTAAGTGGAAAAGGTCCTAGATGAATTTTGAGTGTCTTGGAAAATGTGGTTGGGAGTGTCGTGGGGAGAGAAACATTGGAATTTCAGTGGATTTTTTTATGGTGTGGAAATTTAGTGGAAGGTAACAATGCATTATAAGATGATTGTGGCGGAGATCATGCCTAAACAGTTATATAATAAGAGACTAATCATTTTATTTTTACATGGGTACCCAATGTTTTATGCCCTAGCTATAATTGCCCAAAGACTTGCTCCACGACCTAAGAAAAATAAAAGTAGGGCGGCCAACAAAATGCAAGTCAAATTGGATATATTATTATTCAACCATTATAGTGAAATTCAAGTAACCATGCCTGTTTTGCTTCAATTTTCCAAGTCAAGAAACCTGAAATGTTTTCAAAGTGCTTGAATTTGAGCACTATTTTTTTCAGTCCCGCTCATCTAATGACTTAAAAAATAAGATTGTGTATCCAATCATATCATATGAGAATCAAATAATTAGAAGGGTCCACACGGCTAGCAAATATATTTTGGGTGGATCCAGGCGGTACCGCAAGTCCACTGAATTCTTCAAGTTTGGCCAATCGATCGACTTGTACTAATTGACATGCGTGGCTCTGTGAAGTTGGGGGAATGGGCCTCCACTAACCTACGAATTAGTGTTTTTCTTTCAAAGCTTTGACAGCGAGAGTGGTGGTTGAATTGGGACACTTGTACTTGGAAGTGGTGGAAGATTATTCTCTTCTCATGGTCTATGGTCCAAATTCCAAATTCCAAACCAAACTCATTTTTATATACCAAAAAGAAAACAGAACATTTATATTGGCAAAAAGCCATGCATGATGCATGCCCCATGTCAGCAAAGTTTATGACACGTGAAAAATAGAACGGGGATAACATTGTTTTGCTATTTTCAATTAATCACATCCTGCGATTCAATGGCGGAACTAGGAGTTCTATCAAGAAGGGCCAACTTTAAATAACTTTATAATTACATTAAACTCAAGTTTTTATAAGAAAATATATTTAAGAATTCATTATAATTATTAAATTTTAATATCACAACTTTAATATCTTAGCAAGTATAACCCAAATTGTAGCAACCTAAAAATAATAAAAGAGTATCAAAAGTTGATTTTAGATAGAATGAGAAAATAAAATAAAATTCATGGCACCCACATATAAATGACATATGAAGACATGCAAACAAATATGGATCATATTCATGTTTATTGTAGACAATTTATATTTGCGAGAAGGGTCAACAGTAAATATAGCTATAAAACAACTTAGATAACATAGATAAATACAAGGTTTTCAAAATGTTGAGAAGGGTCAAGTGACCCGCCTTGATTGGCTTCGCCAATGCTGCCACCTTGTGGTAACTTTTCAACATGGATGTGCGTTATCGGTTGAGGATAGCAAAATAGTGTTATCACCGTGACATGCAAATTCTTCTCCTATGACAGCATACAGATTTTGGTGCCAGTCATACGGGAGACACAGGACCCTTGTGAGGTTCTGCCATGTTTGGTATATGTTTGCTTGGTAATTTAAGGAACAATGTTTTTTCTCAAATCTGTCATGAGCTTTATCTGGGTAATTTTACTTCATGTTGAAGCCACTGATTGAACAAAGTAACAACAAACTCCACATAAAGAGTTCTGTTAAAGTTCCCATTAATTCGATATTGGCACAAATAACTAATTTCACAGAAAGAGATCGGCCAACTTCCATTTGGAAATCATTGAAGAACTTGACAACGCCTCATGGATTATTATCAACCACAAATATTATTTATTCACGTATGTATTTTATTCCAGTCTCTCATGCAGCAGCACCAGTATTTTATTCTCACCAAAACGAGCAAAACACTCACAAATATGGTAGGAGGAAAAACAAATTACAACTGTGCACTCTTGAAGATGACAATCTGCCGCACTTACAACTTCAACCACTCCAGGCAAGGGCAAAAGCCCCAGCAAAACCTGGCGGGATAGTAGTCCTTTAAGTACACCTCCCTGCTAAACCCAATGATGTAGAAGCTGAACAACCGGCTACGATGAGCCATGGTGACGCGCGTCACCGGCACAACGGAGATGGTGTGCCTCTCACTTATCACCCTTGCAGTGAGAGGTACAGGAGCTCTGTCTGCAATGACTTCGGAAGAGAACTGATTAAGAAAGAAAGAGTCCGCAAAAAAGGCTGGAGTGCATTGATATGCCTGGGTGTTGCACAGCTGGACTCCTTTGGCTCTGTGGAAAACCTCATCTGGAACAGATGCTGCTCCGCTTGTTGCACTCACCTTTCTAGTTGAAAGTGTCTTCCTGCGATGGAATTTATAGTTTTACTTCATAATGAATTTTCGTGCAGGATGATGTTACATAAGCAGAAAAAAGAGAACATTTCCATGTGACAACCAGAAACCATTTCCAAATACATGGCAAAGAAATTTCTGAAATGATAGGGAATATTTCCATATATAGACAATAATATGGAAATTTATTATCACAAACGACTGTGCATACCATCTAACAAGGCCAACATTGCGTGTCAAAAGAGAACCACTCCCTTGGCATGTCAAACATTTAATTAGACCGCGAGATCCACAAGTTGCGCAGGGGATCTTTCCCTTACCATTGCAACTCCCACATCTGCATAGACAATATCCACACCAGTTAATACAGTATTTTAGTAATTGGCATCCTGTTTCAACAATTACAAGTTATTCTGCTTCCATTATTTACATACACTAAAAGTCTAAAATATCTAATGCTGAATAAAGGACGAAATTTAAAAGGTTATATTGGATGGCCCTAATATTACAGGCAGAAGCCAGATTAGAACACAATTTTATTTAATTAGATGAGGCAGACATAAGCATCTCACATGGAGTCAGATCCATCTTTATGAGCAATTAAACCCCTTCCATGACAAGCAGAACACTGAGTCATCAGATTTTCTTTGTAAAATCCAGGTTCTTGATTTGCATTGCATGTAGGACACACAGAATCTCCTCGTCCTGCACAACCTGCAAATCTTTTCGAACATTTTGTTAGATCACAACAAAAAAAATTTCTTTAAATAAAGCTATGGGAACGATTTTGTCCCTAGATGATACCCAAAAATTATCAAAGAAGAAATAGAACATAAGGAGGTACTTACAAGAGAATATATAAGAGAATTATACAAATACAAATTGGAACATTTATTAAGTCAAAATTTCAACCTCATTGACCATGCAAACTCCACAGTTCCGGAATCTTTACCTGAGCATTTTTCAATGGACTCAGAATGAGGAATTATCTCCCGAGATTCTTTATAAGGTATAAACAAAACAGGAAACTGAGACTTTAAATCCAATTCCCAGATTCCAAGTTCTGGTCCCTTATCCTTTCCATCAATTTTGCCACCAAGGTTCGGCTCTGTTTCTCTGATGGTTTCCCTTTCTTCAATGAAAGTATCTAGTGTTCCCACATAAACGTTGCAATCTTCCACTTTTTGAATTTTCCAGGTCCGTGCAGGACGACTTCCCCAACAGCATCTATGGCCAACATGATCAATGAGCAACTCTCGTATCTCTACTTCATCCAGTATTTGCCTATACATAAATATTTTGTTTAGAAAGAAAATTAAGAAGGGAACGCAGTTTCTATCACACTACAATGTTAAACTTGAGAAAATTGCCACAAGAAGTTTCCACAGACTAGTAAAATGGTTAATATAAATATTTACACAAGTATATAAGAAGAAAAAAAGGTTAGAGTGAAGAAAACAAAAAAGAAAAATCTTTTGAGCACGAGGGAAGAGGTTAGGGTTTAGAAAAATGACAAGGGGAAACCTGCCTGAAAAAGAGGAAGGGCTCGGAGATCCCCTCTGAACTCAAGACCTACCACTTTCCCACCCTACCCCATGTCACTTGAGCTAAAACTCATGCCCCTGAACCTCAGCATCATTATCAGGCATTTCCAAGTTTTTCATTTTTAAAGAAACAAAAAAGCAAGATAGACAATAATGAATTAAAAGTCCCTTAGTAATAGGCGCACAAAACATATTGAAATGAACGAAGTTATCTAGTTAAGTAGAACTTCTCACTTAGGAGCTTGACTTTCCCTAGCACTTTATGAGCCTAAAACGTACCTATGGAGTTCATTTGTGGTGCCACCAAAACCTCCTCCATATCCACCTTGATATGCGACAGCTTGCTCTGCAAAAAGGGATCACAATTTGTATCCATCACAATACATCTGATGACAATAATGGCAGACAGCAAAGATCATTGGTTTAAAAGTCCAATGCTTTAAGTTGTAACCCTCTTTTGCCCGATGAGAGAACCAAATAAGAACGGGAAAAATCGATTAGTCCAACATTTTATGTAATCAACTCAGCCATATTGTCCTAGAGGAATCAGCTGAGTGGAAGCTTTCCCGGTCTCAATCTCAAAACAATTCCAAAGCTATAAAGCATAGACCTTGAAGTTCGTTCTTTCACTCATTCTTAGCGGCCAAACAGCAGATAAAAAAAAGTGTTTACTTTTGGAAGAAATCTCACTAAAAAAAATGATGGCTACCTAGTACCTATTAATCAAAACGCAAAACCCAGGTTGCAAAAAGCATAATTGGGATATAAACACACAAAAAGAAGATGCTTACCAGTAGGATCAGGCTCCGGCGAACTAACCAAAGCGGCATGGATAGAAGGTGGGTAGTGATCAGAATCAGCAGCCGCTGACCTTATCTCTTCAACGCTGACTTCAGTTCCGGCCAACGAAGCCGTCGGAATCACAGAGCCAGCTCTTCCCACGTACTGGTACGAGCCCCACTTCTCACTCCCCTTCTCTCCCAATTCACTTCTTTGCTCTTCACTCATTGGCAACCGACACAAAAACAAAAAAGAACAAAACAACAAAAGAACACATCAATAAAAATGAAATATAAACTCAAGTTTCAAATCTATGCAATTGAAGAGCATTGCAATTGGGAAGTAAAATTTACCAGAAAGCAGAGGCTCCTCCATTGTTCTTCAATGCGGGTGAGGAAGAAAAGAGCTGGAGATCGATCGACTAAATAATAGTGTGGTGTGGCGGATTTTTGCTTCGCCAGTAAGGAAATGAAATCGAGTCAAACAAAACTATCGCATTGAATTGACGGGTTGGTTTGCGGTTGCGGTAGACGAATTGGGTCTACAGTACATAGCGGGAAAGGACGAACCACTAAAAGTTTTATAATTGGGCCTGGGCCTAAGCCCAATAGGCCCAAAAATAACATTGGCCGAGTACACGAATTGAATATTGCACTCGCTCACACCATATACCTCCTCTCTCCATATATAAATCTTTCCGTCTTCAGCTAGGGTTTCCGTCTCCTTAAAACACCAGCAGTCAGCACCCGAGGCACGTAGCTCATTCGAAAATGGTGAAGGGCCGCCAAGGAGAGCGCATCAGGTCGTCAAAATCTTCAACTTCCATATTGTTAATTTCTTCAACTAGTTTAAGAAAACTTAAATTTTCTTCAATTTTTCTGACTTTTTATTGTTTCGCAGACTCTATGTGCGAGGAACTGTTCTTGGATACAAGAGGTACTGAAACGAAGTTCATAGATTTCTTATCTGGGCTTGAAGCTAAGGGTGTTTGAATTTTTGACATGGGGCTTTGGTTTTTTACAGGTCCAAGTCGAATCAGTATCCTAGTGCGTCGCTGATTCAGATCGAGAATGTGAACACTAAGGAAGAGGTGGCCTGGTACGCTGGTAAGCGCTTGGCGTACATATACAAGGCCAAGGTGAAGAAGAACGGCAGCCACTACCGTTGCATTTGGGGCAAGGTCTCTAGGCCTCATGGTAACAGTGGCGTCGTTCGCGCTAAGTTCAAGTCCAATCTTCCCCCCAAGTCCATGGTAAAGTTTTTACTTTATGAAAGCTTGAATCTTCTGTTTTTGCTTAGATTGGTGTGATTATTTGGAATTCAATTTGTTGATTGAGCTGTTTTTGCTAATTGAACAGGGAGCTAGAGTCAGGGTTTTCATGTATCCCAGCAACATTTGAGGTACCACTATTTTTTTCCTTTTATGATTTTGAGTGTTTTGTTTGAGAATTTAGTTGGTTTTTGAACAAATGAAATGATCAGTTTTGGTGCATTGCGATTTCAATTATTATGGTCCATATTCTATTGCGTTGTTGCTTCCAACAAATTTCCTGAGTAGATTTTTGTGTGTAGAAGAGCTTAATATAACAATCATCCACTGCTCAACTGGATATATATGTTGTTTTTCTATAAAACAAATACCCATTGAACAGAGATTATGAATGAAAGCAGCGTTGCATTTTCTTCCTCTACTTGTTTTCACAAGTATGCGATTTATTTGGTTATTTTATGCAAATGGGTGGATTAATCCCCAGGATGTCTCCTTAAGGACTGATAGTTTTGTGGGATTGGGTTTCATTATTGTGAGAGTAAACTAATTGCCTTTGATACTTGCACTTTGCCGTTTCTTGTAGTCACCGCATTTTCGTTTGTTTTGCAGGTATGTGGCAAATGTAGATGATGGAATGGATTGGAGGTGAAGCATTTGAAGTTTTGATTTTACTCTATTTAGAATCGTGTTTAGACTTTCGAAATGTTATTGTACTGAGGAACGTGAGACATTTATTAAGATGCTTGTTGCTAGCCTTGAATATGCACCTTGTGAAACTCGTTTTATGTTTATTTCCATTCCAGCGTCAATTATCTGCACTTTTTTTTTTGGGTGAGACAATTATCTCATGTTATTTAAGCGTGTATTTCCTTTAGAAAAGAACACCAAAATGTACGAGGCATATGTTGTCAAAAGTACGATGTTATGTTCTAGGAGCCTCGACTCATGAAGCAAGACACATCTGTTTTGTTGCAATGCGGTAAACTGCAACTTCCGGTAGTGGTAACGGTCAGTTTCTGAGCCAAGCTGACCATTGTTGAACAGTAACCGGTTGGTAGACATAGGCGCAGTTATTGGACAGAAAACAGCGCTAATGAGAAGTCCTGAGTTTAGAGTAAGGTTGATATGATACCACCTAGGACTCGGTTGATATCAGTGCCTGCCAAACCTATCGGTGGGTAGTTGGGTATTTATTCCGCAGCCGTGGTACAGATGATGAATGATTGAGAGCCTTTCTAGGCCTTTAGATGTTGTGTTGTGGAACTATGAAAATGTAAAATGCAGTTTCGGCAGCTCGGTATTTCAAATACCCCTTATGGATAAGGTAAACATGCCATTAAATTTCAATGCGTCACGTAGATCGACTATGTTGTTCTCCATTGAAGCATGGAGGACAATGAAGAGAAAAGGTGGGGTGGTTGGTTTCTCAGTGCTCATATCCACCACAGCCACAACGCTCATCACTGCCTTTACCAACTCAAGTCCCATACGCATCCACATTGATCTGCGAATTCTCTTGCGCCACATGCTTTTTCTTTTTAGCTCTTTGCAATCATTACTTCATGAGCTCTCTTGGCCCACCAAAGCAATAAAAACAATTTCAGCTGAAAATTGCTCAACATTTTCACTCTCGAGTCTCCACTCGCTTTCAGAAACTTGCCGACGGTTTGCATATATATATAAAGCGGTGCGTTTCAGTAATAGCGCCAATAGAAGTTGTGGTTCCTAATCTTGCAGCTCTCAAAGTCTCTCAAGTCTCAACCACTTCTGCAAAGGAACCGCTATTTTTTTTTTTGGTCTGAACAAGGAACCGCTATTTTAGTTGTTTAGAGTAATTGCTTCCTAGGCAAAGTCTTAGATTCAATTCCTAGCACCAGTATTGTGTTTTTGAGTTTAGTTTATTATCGTCTATTTCAATAAAAAAGTTCCTTTAAAAAATAAAAATAAAAAGAAGAAAAATCTCAACGACTTCTGTTTATGGCTTCTTTCAAAAATCGCGCATTGCCTTCCTTTCCATACCCCACATGACACGAAGAGGCTTCATCTTCCTAAAAGCACCCGACAGTCTCTCTTTAAATAAATCTGTTTTTGGATTTTGGTTTTACTTTCTCTGTCAAAATTGAAGTTGTCTCATTCATCAAGGTAAGTTTAAACATCTACTTTCTTCTTCTTCTTCTTCTTCTTTTTCTAGAGTTTAAATTTTGAGTGAAGGAAAGAATGAATTGAAAGAAGCATTTCCCACTTCCCAGTTCACAGGACAAGGCTAAGGAGGAGATGTTTTCCCTTCAGCATACCATATGGCTGTTGAGAGTTTTCCTGTTGGTGTTGGTAGTACTAGAAAATGTTAAGGGGTCTTCGTCATCAGCTTCCAATTATTTGATTGGCCTTGGAAGTTATGACATAACAGGTCCTGCTGCTGATGTTAATATGATGGGTTATGCAAATGCTGAGCAGACTGCATCTGGGATTCACTTCAGGCTCAGAGCTCGTACATTTATTGTAGCAGAACAGCAGGGCAACCGTGTAGTTTTCGTGAACCTTGATGCCTGCATGGCCTCCCAAATTGTCACAATTAAACTTATTGAGAGATTGAAAGTGAGGTACAGAACCCTCCTGGTACTAGACGTTTCTTATTTCTTTAAAAAGTTCGATTCTTTACTCATTGAGATTTAAAAGTTTGGTTTTTTCTTATTGAGATTTTGCTCCTTTTTTTTTTGGGTGTGTGTGAAAGGTATGGGGAGCTTTATACAGAGAAGAATGTGGCAATTAGTGGGATTCACACTCATGCTGGGCCTGGGGGCTACCTTCAATATGTTGTATATATTGTTACATCTCTTGGATTTGTAAGACAGTCATTTGATGTTCTTGTTGATGGCATTGAGAAAAGCATAATCCAAGCTCATGAAAACCTTCGTCCTGGGTCAATTTTTGTGAACAAAGGTAAGAAAACTGACTCATAATTACTCTATTTTTGTAACTTGTTTACCTATTATATCCTTGAATGACCATTTGTAACTTTGCTTGATCTTCTCCAAAGCCGAATTTTGGAATATAAATTGAACCCTTCTTATATAAATATATGAATATTGAGTAGCTTCCCTAATTGAAGCTATTTTAATCTGTCCTCATGGTTTCATAGGAGAGCTCTTAGATGCTGGTGTGAACCGTAGTCCAAGTGCTTATCTCAGCAATCCTAAAAAAGAGCGGAGCAAATATAAGTTTGATGTTGATAAAGAAATGACTCTCATAAAATTTGAAGATGAGGAGTGGGGCGCGGTTGGTAGCTTTAACTGGTTTGCAACTCATGGAACTTCCATGAGTCGTACAAACTCATTGATAAGTGGGGATAACAAAGGAGCTGCCGCTAGATTCATGGAGGACTGGTTTGAACGGCATGGTGTTGTGAGAGGTTTTGATGGTCTATCTTCCAATAGATCAGGTACTGGCAAAGTCCCCAGAAGAGTCTCAAGCCTAGTTCCTAAAGATAATGGAAATGGTAATTGAAATCTTTTTGTCTATGATTTAATGTAGACTGTCTCAAGCCTCTTCCCTTCTAATAACATATAGTACATTTGGAACAGGAAATGAGTTGATGAAACTTGCCGCCTCCTTTCAGTCTTCTCAAGGACAAATCGTGACAAGGCTTTCAAGTTTTGCAAGACGGGTTAGGAATGCCTTAAGGAAAACTGAAAGGCCTCAATTTGTATCTGCATTCTGTCAATCAAATTGTGGTGATGTAAGCCCAAATGTTCTTGGTGCATTTTGCATAGACACTGGACTTCCATGTGATTTCAATCACAGTACCTGCAATGGTAAAAATGAATTGTGCTATGGCCGAGGACCGGGGTACATGTTTCTACAATCTCTTTAGGATTTCATACAATGGTCAAATATATGATACATATGTGGTTTTAAACATTTGTTCTTTTTTCGTTTTTCGGTTGAAAATAAACCCTTTTTTCTTCATTTGGCAGTTACCCTGATGAATTTGAGAGTACTCGCATAATAGGAGAAAGGCAATTCAGAAAAGCTGTTGAACTGTTTGACAAAGCAACTGTGAATCTGAAAGGGAAGGTTGGATCCCAACATGCATACATAGATTTTTCAAGCCTTGAGGTCTCACTTCCTAAAGTTGGAGGGGCTAATGAGGTGGTGAAAACTTGCCCGGCTGCCATGGGGTTTGCCTTTGCCGCTGGAACCACTGATGGGCCAGGAGCTTTTGATTTCAAGCAGGGAGATGACAAGGTAAGAAATTTCTGGAGCATGTTTGACCCTTCTTCGTATAAGAACCTTAATTGGTTAAATAGCTCAAGTGATGATTCTCTTCTTGTGTGCTTCTCTAGGGAAATGCCTTCTGGAGATTGGTAAGGGACTTTCTGAAAGCACCGGACCAAGAGCAGGTCAATTGCCAGCATCCAAAGCCTATTCTACTTGATACTGGGGAAATGAAGGAACCATATGACTGGGCAGTAAGTTTGTATGTTGGCTTTCAATTTTTATATCAAAATAGCCTATGAGTAACAGTGGTTTGTGGAAGAACTGGACATGTTGAATGCTCCCTGGGACATCCCATTGAGGTCTGCATGTAAATTATCCCTTGTGAAGAATTATAAAACAGTGCAACACAGCATATTTATCACTCGGCTTACTTACAACATCAAAGACGATGGCATTGTCAGAAAATTCCATACATCAAATATACTGTGTAATTCAAAAATTTTGTTGGTGAATGTACTTTATTCATTCTTAACAAATACCTACTTGCAATCCTTGGAATTGATTTTCTGACATACAAATAAGTATTTGATGGTTCTGGCCGCAGGCCAATACGTGATGCTGTTAGTGAGAATAACTTCTGGTGCAAGCCATTGTAACTTTTATCTAGGCTTTTAGATTGATGCTTCAAGAAATTTGATATTCATTTGTGGGGTGTAATATCTGCAGATAATTTTTCCGCATCATTAGTTTTCTTTTAATTTTGATGTGGAACTGATGGACATATGTTGAATTATTTCTGCACTGCAGCCATCAATACTACCAGTTCAAATTTTGCGAATTGGCCAACTTGTCATTCTCTCTGTACCTGGAGGTGAAAGCAAACCTATCATATTCCACTTATGCCCTTAACTTTGTTATTCCCCACTGTACTGAATGCTCGAGAGGATTTTCCTATATTCTGAGCAGGAATTGGCCTAAAGAAGTTTCATATCATCTTTTTCTGTTGGTGGACTCTATCTTTATTCACAGCAAGTCAGGATGTATTTCTAATAATATTGGTTATTTTCTTTCAGAATTTACAACTATGGCTGGAAGGCGTCTCCGTGATGCTGTTAAGAGGGTCCTTACCTCTGGAGGTAGGAAAGAATTTGACAACAATGTCCATGTAGTCATTGCCGGGCTAACAAATACATATTCACAGTATGTTACCACCTTTGAAGAGTACAAAGTGCAGAGATACGAGGTTCGTCACTCATCCTTCATCTTACATTGTCTTTCTTACTAGTCTTTCATATCACCTGGTAAATTGTCCGTTAAGCTGCATTATGTAAGTCCTCCAGACTTGGGATTTTTTGTAATTCTAATTCTCTTTCACATTTCAGGGAGCATCCACTCTTTATGGACCGCACACACTTGAAGCTTACATTCAAGAGTTCAAGAAACTAGCAACAGCTCTCATCAATGGCCAAACTGTCGAACCAGGCCCACCACCCCCCGACCTCCTTGACAAGCAAATCAGCCTACTAACACCCGTTGTTCTGGACACAACCTCTTTTGGTGTTAAATTTGGGGATGTTAAAACTGATGT